GTGAGTTTGAGGCCAGCCTGGGCTTCCAAGTGAGCTCCAGGAAAGGCGCAAAACTACACAGAGAAACCCTGTCTCGAAAAACCAAAAAAAAAAAAAAAAGAAAAGAAAAGAAATTGGGGTCAGAACCCACCCTCTACATACACACACACACACACCAGTCTCACATCTGTCCTTCTTACCTCTTCAGGAACCTCCAAAGGCTGGACATCTCAGACCTCCCTGCTGTGTCCCACCCAGGCCTCATTCAGATCCTGGTAGAAGAGATGTTGCCCCATTGTGAGGTCCTTGGTGCTGACTGGGCCCAGGGCCTGAAGCTGGAGCCAGACCAGCAGCCTCAGGACACATCTAGCCCAGGCTCTCCCTAGCCTGTAGTCCCACTCTTGCAGGATCTTGTGAGGCTCTGAGGAGTGTGATGTCTTCTCACTCTGGCTTCCAGTGGGGTTCATTCAACAGGAGCATTGGCAAATAAGAAGGCTGAGTCAGGGTTTTGACTGGTGTTTGCCTGCAGCTGGCAAACAGCTGGCACCATGGCAGACAGCCCTCCATGCACAGCTGCTCACAGCTCTACGGTTTCTCATTATCCCTGTTTGTCAAGAACATTCCCCCAAACTGTCCACATGCATGTCCCCAGCAACTGTGGCCGACATGAGATACTGCTGGCGCTTTACAGTGGTCGGTTCCTCCTTGTGCAGGGTTGGTCAGCACTACAGGTGGCCAGCATCCTTGGCCCACATTCATTAAAGGCCAGCAGTACCCCAAGCCCCATGGCATCACCCATTGATTTACTGACTTGTCGAATGTGGTTTCCCTGCTCTGTGAAAATGTGAGCTGAGCGGCTGGGAAAATGTTTTCTTCAGCTGGCACAACAGACTTTGTCAGTAGAGGGCGCTGGAGATAACCCAGAGGGATGGCCAGGACTGCATGGAGCTTAAAGTGGTTTTCCAGCTCCCAGATTGCGGGTGGTTGGCACCCCTGTTGTCTGTGAATGACTCCTGGTGTCCATGTTACCAGTGACTGTCATGACTCTAATACACCATACAAGTGTATGATTCTTTATATTAAACTTTCCCTGTTCGCATTACCCTGTGGCATTTCCTCCTAACTGGATCCAGATGGCACTGGATGCATAATTCTGGAGATGAAGATTCAAAATGGATTTGGGAGGGCTGGGACTTTGGACATGAGCATAGCAGTAAGCTCCTTGCTAGGAAAAAAAAAAAAAAAAGATGTCAAAGATCCTGACATGCAGGGCATCCCAGTGGATGCCGACAAGCTGCCAGTTGTAACATGTGCCCGTGGCTGCTGTGCTGACAGCTGTGGCCACAAGGATGGTTTGGATGCTGGGATTTTGGGGAACACAGTTGAGTGCTCAGAGGTGTGTGTGTAGCCAGTCTGAGAACTTAAGAACTCTGTGATAGCCCCAGAAGTTCATTCTTGGAATAGAGTTGGACTCAAGAGTCATCAGGACTTGACCCCTGCCCCTAGCCACTTCAAGGCTCTTTTGCCAATACAAGGAGCTAGCAGAACTATCTGGTGATGACCTCATCTGGTCCCTGGCTTTGAAAGGAGTGCCCACTATTCTTTAAAGATTTATTTTGTAGCTGGAGTTATCTCCAGTCCCCCGAGGCCTGCAGCCACTCAGACCCACATAAACACACAGACGCTTATATTATTTAAACTGTTTGGCCTAATGGCTCGGGCTTCTTGCTATCTAGTTCTTATATCTTAAATTAACCCATTTCTGTTAATCTATAAGTTGCCACATGGCTTGTGGCTTACTGGTACTTTACACCTTGCTTCTCATGGCGGGGCTGGTAGCATCCTGACTCAGCCTTCCACTTCCCAGAATTCTTCTCTCTCTTTGTCCCGCCTATACTTCCTGCCTGGCTACTGGCCAATCAGCACTTTATTTACTAACCAATCAGAGCAACACATTCACAGCATACAGAAAGGCACCCCCAGCATTATTTACTTATTTTTATGCGCATGGAAGTTAAGTGCACATGTGTGCAGTGCCCATAGTAGCCAGAAGAGGGCACTGGAGTCTCTGGAGTTGGAATTACAGGTAGTTGTGAGCTCTGGTATAGGTGCCAGGAATTGAGCCTGGGTCCTCTGCAAGAGCAACAGTTGCTCTTAACTGCTGAGCCATCCCTCCAGCCCCATGTGTCCATTATTCATAAGACTTCAGAAAGCACTCAGGAGGCAGGAGACAGGCAAATCAGACATGTCTACATAGCAAGTTCCAGGCCAGCCAGAGCTACAGTGTGAGACCCTATCTCAAAAATAATTAAAAAGAGACTCAAGCGAGTCCTCTACTGCTAACAAAGCCATAAACCCTAGGATCAAATCCACTTGCTTCAGAGGGAGGGGGGCCTACTAGGCGCCTACTGATAAGAACAAGACACCAGCTGGGGTAACATCGCTCAGTGGCAGCATACACAAGGCCCTAGGTTCAACACTCAGTAGTTCCCCAAAAACCAATATCCCTGCACTAGGGAAGCTGAAGCCAGAGGATTACAAGGAAAACAAGATGGAAAGAAAGAAGGCAAGTAAGGGCTGTGTAGTTAAGAACACTGACTGCTCTTGCAGAGGACCCAGGTTTGACTCCCAGCACCCACAGGGCAGTTCACAACTGTCTGTAACCCCAGTTCAAGGGGATCCGATGCCCTCTTCTGGTCTCCACAGGCATCATGCATGCAACTGATGCACAGACATATTATGCGGGCAAGACACCCATGTGAGAAAGAAAAAGGGGATTGGGGATTTTGTTCAGTAGTAGAGTGTTTACATAGCAAGCACAAGGCCCTGGGTTCGGTCCTCAGCTCTGAAAAACAAAAAAAAGAAAAGAAAAAAAAGATAACTTGAAATTTGTATAAGTAGAAACCTGGAAGTGTGTAGAGTATATAGTGAAGATACTTGGGCCAAATCTGCTGAACAGGTGTGCTTTTCAGAGCTAATGAGTTATCCTGTGCCACAGAGATGGTCTGGCTAGTTGGTTGGCTGACTGGAACATGGACCCAACTGTACCCTACAGTTAATAAAGCTGAGAAATTAGAAATTGCCTGTCTTGACATGGGAGCAGATAATGAAAACACCCCGAACTATGGCCCTCAAAAGTAGTCAGCCACGGCCCCTTTGTTACTCAGTCCCATGTTCTTGTTAATCATGGCTTTCCATTTGAGCCCTCCTGGTTCCAACAGCTGGGTGGCTCCTCCCGGTTGGACCCAGGCTGCACTCGGCAACCAGCACTGCTTTCTTCCCTGGAGACTATAAGGCCCAGGGAGGATGATGCTACAGTCACAGAGCCTCGGTGCCCTGGAGGGAGATGAGCCAGGACAGCTGAGGCCTTAACAGGCCTCTCCCATGGCCCTGGGCTGGGGTGGGCTTGGCCCTGCCTGGCTCTTGGCTATCTTCCCCACTCTAGCTCTTACTTATTCCATTAGCATTCACCATTTCCTCCCCACTGTCTTCCTCCATCTGTTCCCATGGGCTCCATTATTCAAACTTGGAGGGAGGAAATCAGGGCTGGAGAGATAACAGACTCTGGCGCTGGTACACTGGGTTCCTGTTATATCTGTACAGTCCTCCAAACCAGGTAGGCTGCAAGGGGTCAGCCCGGGCTCGGGGTTGGGGAGAGGGCTGCATCCCACTGTCCGTCCCCGGAGATGTGGGAAGGCCCCACCTGCTGGCCTCCCCAGACTGCAGGCACAGCTTCAACAACAGAGGCCCTAGGGCAGGGATGTAAACACAGTCAGAAACCCTCCTGCCCCAGGGGTGGGGCGGAAAGCTCACAGCATCACAGGGCGGGGCGCCTCCCGTCTGGATGGAGGTGGTAGGCTAGTAGTGGCTCATGCACAAGTTGGAGGAGGTGCGCACCCCTAGCTGGAGGCTCTCAGTGCACCTCACTTTACCACCTTTTATTGCTCTCCTTGCTTACCCCCTCTCCCTAGTCCGTCTTTCTTCTCTGGGTCCTCCTGGGCTCCGCTGACTCTTCTCCTGCCACCTGTGAGTCTTTCTCTCTCCTGCCTTACCCTTTCTCTGCTCTGCTAGTTGCCTGCCAAGATCTCTCAGGGTTTCTCTACTTGACGTCCCTCCACCCCCTCGCGGCCCCTGCAGACATCCCCTCCCCCACCCCGGCACGCAGCAGTCACGACGCCTCCTGGCGGTGGCCTCGAACCAGCCCCTTGGCCTCTCTTCTCTTTCCCCTTTGGGACCCAGACTGCCCCTGGATCACTCTAGCCACCCGGCCTGGACCTCCCCTTCCCTGGAATTCTCCCCTAGGCCATCGTAGAGTCCGGGTCCACAGCACTGGCCACACCTGCACCTTTCCCGAGGTCTCACCAGAAAGCCAGCCCTAACTCGCCAGGGCGCGCGTCTCCCCGTCTGCCTCCCCTTCCCGGCCCCGCCCCGACTCCTCCCAGCCCCTGGGGCCCTCCCGCCTCCTCCCCTCCCGTCCGCCCCTCCAGACTCCAGCGCGGGCTGGGCAGGCAGCCTGAGGACAGCTGCGAGCAGGGAGTCCGGGCAAGGCTTGACCCGAGGACACTCCTAGAACTGGCGGAAGCCGAACCCAGAGGTACCCGGGGCCCCGGGCCCTTGGTTGGGGTTACTGGAGGAGGTAGGTAGGTTTCCAAGAAGGTAAAAGGGGTTTCCCCGGGGCGCTGGGACTTATGGGGAGACAGAAGAGTGGAGGGAAAGGGGTAGGAATGGCGTTGAAGCGATACTACATATAGATCAACACCTTGACTCCAAGAAAGGGCAAGAATAGGACGCGGATGGGGGCTCAGTCTAGGATAACGTGACAGTTCGGTACTGCAGGCCAGGCAGTCTAGGGTCAGGGTCTCAGAAGCCATTACCAGTTGGGCGGGACTGGGTAAACCCCAGGATGCTTGTGTAGGTTCAGCTGGGTGGGCCCTCTTTGGAGGGTCACCCTGCACCCTAAAGACCTCTGTGGCTCTTTGTGATTCTTGCAGCCCCACTGGTGGCCTTTTCCCTGGGCCGGGTCATGCGTTGCCGCAAGTGCCAGCTCTGCCTGTCAGCACTGCTCACACTCCTGGGCCTCAAAGTATACATCGAGTGGACATCTGAGTCCTGGCTTAACAAGGCTGAACCCCGGGGCACCCTGCTCAGTCCCACACCACCCATCGCTGAGCCCACTCTGCCCATCAACCTCTCAGCACGCCTGGGTCAGACTGGCCCACTGTCCTTGGCTTACTGGAACCAGCAGCAGCGGCATCTGCGAGTCCTGCCCAGTACAGACTGCCAGACTTGGGGGACTGTTGCTGCCTCAGAGATCTTGGACTTCTTTATGTACCCCCAGGACCTCCAGCGCTTCTTGCTATCAGCAGCCTGTAGGAGCTTCCCACTATGGCTGCCTGCAGGGGGAGGCAACCCAGTGGCCAGCTGCTCTAATAAGGATGTCCCCTACCTGCTCCTGGCTGTCAAGTCAGAACCAGGACACTTTGCAGCACGCCAGGCTGTGAGAGAGACCTGGGGCAGTGCAGCCGCTGGGACCCGGTTGCTCTTCCTGCTGGGGTCCCCATTAGGAATGGGGGGTCCTGACCTAAGATCACTGGTAACATGGGAGAGCCAGCACTATGGTGACCTGCTGCTCTGGGACTTCCTGGATGTTCCCTACAACCGGACACTCAAAGACCTGCTGCTGCTGACCTGGCTGAGCCGCCACTGCCCCGACGTGAATTTTGTCCTGCAGGTGCAGGATGATGCCTTTGTGCATGTCCCTGCCCTGCTGGAGCACCTACAGGCACTGCCGCCCACCTGGGCCCGCAGCCTCTACCTGGGGGAGGTCTTCACCCAGGCCAAGCCGCTCCGCAAGCCTGGAGGACCCTTCTATGTGCCGAAGACCTTCTTTGAAGGTGACTACCCAGCCTACGCAAGTGGAGGTGGCTATGTCATCTCGGGACGCCTGGTGCCCTGGCTGTTGCAGGCAGCAACCCGTGTGGTACCTTTTCCCTTTGATGATGTCTACACTGGCTTCTGCTTCCGTGCCCTGGGCTTAGTGCCCCGTGCCCATCCAGGGTTCCTCACAGCCTGGCCAGCAGACCGCACCAGGGACCCCTGCAAAATACGAGGCCTGCTGCTGGTGCATCCAGTCAGCCCCCAGGACACCATTAGGCTCTGGAAACACCTGTGGGGCCCCGAGCTCCAGTGCTGAGCCTCAGAGACAAGCTAGGGTGGGGGTGTTAAGGGTCTTGTGCCCCTCCTCAACCCTCCCTAGTCAAGAACTGGGTAGCAGACAAGGTGGTAGACTGTGCCCGTTCTTTCTCATTTTGAAAACTATGTTCTCCCTACTCTGAGGCCAGGAGTTATTTTTTCATATGTGGGACCCCTGCAGGGAAGGCAGATGCTGTTGTACCCTAACCTTCACACTGGACACTCCCTGGACACTTTGCTGGACAGCAGGCTTGTACAAGCCTGTGGGAGAGTTCTGGAGGGCCCATGTGCCAAAGCTGCCTTCCAGTTTGGCAAAGTTTATAGAAGTAGGTATCTCTAAGCCTTTAGCTTTTCTGCCTAAAGCCAGGCTATCCCCAAAGGCTGGTGTGGCAGTCTAGGCTATCCCCAAAGGCTGGTGTGGTGGTCTACTCCTATAATCCCAGAACTCAGAGGCTAAAGCGGGAAGATCACAAATTCCAGGCCAAACTGGGCTACACAGTGAGATCTGTCACAAAAAAAAACAGCACCAGCACCACCACCACCACCACCCCGCAAACCAAATCAGTCACGCTGGCCTCTCCCCTCCCCTCCATATGCCCCCTCACACACATACCCCAGCCCCCAAACTTGAGAAGACAGAAACCAGGGGAAGCAGAAGGTCAAAGGCAGGACCACAGTTTATTCACTCTGATGACCAGCTCATACTCTGGGCAAGATCCAGGGCCACCTGCCCAGAGGGTCTTGCCTGGCCTGGGTCCCACCTCTAAAAGGCACTGTAACAGGTGAAGGGGGTGATGGGGCCTCAGTAATAGCTGCAAACATTGTGCCCCAGTGAAGTAGCCTGGAGGAGCAGGAATGGGGAGTGGGAGTCACCCCATGACTGTTTGCAGCGCCACCCTGGCCACTGAGCATGTTAGCAGCACTGACTAGGGAGGGCAGCATCCTGCCAGCACCCCTGCTCCACTCAGAGCAGGACCACCTCAGGGGGGCTAGGGCCTCACTTGTCAAAGTGGTCCAGGGGGTAGTGCTCCCCATAGGTCTGCAGATGTCGTGCCAGGGACTCCTGCTGCCTGCGGAGCTGGGCGGGCATCTCCTGGTACACGTCGGAGAAGAGCAGGTTTGGGTTGGGCTTTAGCTTCCGCTCAGCCTGTTCAAAGGCCTCCATCACCTGGGAGACACAGGGGGGTAAGAAGTGGCTGTCCCCTTCCCCTTGCCCTCTCCCATGGTCCAGCCTCTCCCCTCTGAGGCCTCAGCCTGGAATTAGCCAACACTCCAGACCCACAGCTCTGGCCTGCAGGGGACCTGGCACTGTATTGAGCAGCTCTACAATGAGGGAACAGGAGTAGAGGATTGGGGCAGAGAAGGGAAGGACGACTCCTCAGGATGATGCAGTCAGGGCTGAGCCAGTACCTACAGTGCAGCCTGAGGCCAGACCACCTGATCTCAGTGCACAAAGGAGGGACACTAGCTCTAGCCACAGCCCAGGTGGGGCCCTCCCACTTCCCATACCCTGGGAACTTAAAGATGAAGACACTGGCAGATGACCTGCCCTGGGTTCCACTCTGAAGGCTCACTGAGGCCATATGGTCCAGGCAGCTTAGTTCCAGGGGCCACTTATGGGGACTAGTTTACCTGGGTCAGTGCGAGCACCCAGGTCTTGCACTCCCATCCTCCCAGGGTTCTCCCTGTGTAGGAGCCAGTGGAGCACATACCCTGGGGCTCCAAGGGGCCCTCACCTTCTTCCGTGACTGCTTCCTCCAGGCCTTCTCCTGCTCCTCATCCCACCAACCCTGGCTCAGCAGATATAGCCTCAGCCTGGAGATTGGGTGGTCCTGCTTGTCCCAGTAATTGACCTCGTCCACCGAACGGTATGCTGAGCTGTCATCACTGGTGCTGTGGTGCCCAATCCTGCTCAGAGGAGATGTGGATCAGCTGGTAGTAGGGCCAGAAAAGGACTGAGAAATGATGTAAAGCAAGGGGGGAATGCAGTATGGGTGACAAGGCTGTGTTTGGGGGACACGGACAAAGGGCTGGCCAGAGCTGTGGGTTGCAGTGATGGAAGTGAGACAGGCACCTGTAGGTCATGGCCTCAATGAGGAAGGGTTGGTTCTCAGCCACAGCCCGCCGTCGGGCCTCCTTGGTGGCATTGTACACTGCAAACACATCGTTGCCGTCCACACGGATTGACAGGATGCCATACCCAGGGCCTCGAGCCGCTGCAGGGACAGAGGGGTACCAGTCAGGCCTCAGGGAGAAGAAGGGGAGGAGGAGAGTGAAGCGTGCTCATTTGCTGCCTCCGGTGCCCCTTCTCTGTCAGATACCATGGGAAGAGAGCGGGGAGGAGAGCTGGTGGGAGCAGGGTCCTTACCAATGCCATCCCCGCGGTACTGCTCGGAGGTTGGTGTGGAGATGGCATAGCCATTGTTCCGGCAGAAGAAGATGATAGGACACTCCAGGGTGGCAGCAAAGTTGAAGCCGGCATGGGCATCCCCTTCACTGGCTGCCCCCTCACCGAAGTAACAGATCACGATCCGGTTGGCATTGGCCCGCTTGGCAGCATAGGCTGCCCCCACCGCTGCATGGAAAGAGGGAATGAACAGGAATAAGCAGCCACACACAGATGCACGCACACACACACACAGCTCCAGGATTGGGAAAGTTGTCACCAGGTACCGAGGGCCTACCCACCATAGCCTTCTCCCTCACAGCTGACTGGAGTGCCATCCTTCCATCTGCATCCTCCCTGACTCCTGTCTGCCATGTTTACGTCTACACCACCTTCAAAGGACAGCCAGACCTGGGCCTTCCCCACCAGGGTCAAGCTACCAGCAGTAATCTTAATTACTGAGTAGCCCACACTGCCCCTTAATCTGTCATCCAAAGGACAGCTAAGGATCTTACAGTGTGAGTCTGGCAGATTCCTTCCTAACTCTGGGCTCTCAGGCCAAAGTCCCTGCAATAGGCAAGGCTACCGGGCCCCACCTGCTCTGTATGCCCCACCCCACCCCACCCTGCAACCCTTAGTTCCCTGGTCTGGTCATAATTAAACACATGACTGCCTCATGGAGCCCACATAGCTTCCTTCCACACTGCTTCTAGCCTATCATTAATTACCCATGATGCCTCTTACACTGCCCCCCAACAGACACTGCTCTGTCCTGGCTTTCCTAGTACCTACATGAAGCCCTCCTGGTACTGCCTCTTCACTCTTTCCTACCAGTCTCCCCCAACCCAACATCATTATCAACAGGACTAACAATTGTCTCTCTTGTTCAGAAAGCCTAGGGTGACACACGGCACATGGTGGCCATTCCATATATCTGTTGACTGAGGGACCCCAGGGCGCCATAATGGAAGATGAGGCCAACGCCAGCTCCTAGAGAGCTCTGCCACACAACTCTCTCCCAAGAGGCCTGCAGACTCACAAGCCACACAGCTACTGTGACACACACTTCCCATCAGACTCTGGGTACAGGGGCCACAAGAGAGCCAATCCTTGGTTTGTGTGTTGTGTGGGCACAGGTCCAGCATCCTGGCAGTCTCTGTAGTATGTCAGGGGCCTCGGGGCCCCTACAGCATGCTCTGGGGAGTCTACCTGGCTCTGAGAACCAAGGCTAGCAGGGGCAGGGTAGAACTTGGGCTCTGTAATCACTAGAACTCATGAGTAAATTCCTGCCCTCCTCCCTACCACAAGACCCTAGTAAGTCACTTCCTTCTTCAACTTCAACTTCCTGTTCTTTGTAACAGCTACAGCAATACGTGCTAGCATTTACCCCCACAGCAACTGACAGTGCCATTTGACAGTCTGAGCGTGGCAATGAGACAGTTCCTGGTCCTGCTGGCTTGGAGAGGAGGAGAATCAAAAGGAACAGCAGGAGTCTGGGAAATCCAGTGTGGCTGCGATGACTCAGGGCTGCTGGATGAGATGGGACACCATGGGCCCTCCTCTGAGAGGTCCCTGGAAAGCCCTATACACATGTGAGGCTCTAATGGCAGCACCCAACAGTAGGCTAGAGAAGGCCCGGGCCCACACACAGAGGTGTGTCATGGGTTCGGCATGCATGAGGCACATGTCCTCACCCTGAGGGATCTGCGTGGCCAGTGGAGAGGAGATGGTGACGAAGTGGCGCTCCTTGCAGCCATAGTGAACGGGCATCTGGCGCCCCTTGCCTGGGTCATTCACGTTGCCGTAGCACTGGGCCATGAACAGTTCCAGAGGGTAGTCCCGGTACATGAGCACACCTGGCAGGAGGAGGCAGCTGTGAGCCTGGTAAGCAGTGCACTGGAGGAGTGTCAGACCCAGCAGTGGGCAACCTGCACCAGCCCCTTCCTCCCAAGACCTTCCTACCAAGACCAACACAGCAGGTCAGTGTGGTAGGGCAGGCCTGTGAGACCAGCACTCGGAGGCTAAGGCAGGAGGAATGTAAACTGGAGGTTGGCCGGGGCTACGTAGCAAGATGATGTCTTGAATTAAACAAATAAACAATAAGGAAGAACCAGATTATAGCAGGTAGGCAAACTCAGGGGCTCACAAGGACAGGCAGGTGCCACCCATATGACCTATCCCAAGAGAGACTTACGTTTGGCCCGGAGAACTCCTCTCGGTCACTGTCAGTAAGAGGTGATTGATTCAACACGTTAGCATCTCCCTAAGCTCGTCTTTGAATGGGTTCAACTGAATTTTGCATATGACAGGGCTGCATTGCACAGAAAATGGCAGACAAGGTCTTTCCTTTTTTTTGTTGTGTTTTTTTGTTTTGTTTTGTTTTGTTGAGGCAGGGTTTCTCTGTGTAGCCCTGCCTGTCCTAGAACTTGCTCTGTAGACCAGGCTGGCCTCGAACTCACAGAGATCTGCCTGCCTCTGCCTCCTGGGTGCTGGGATTAAAGGTGTGTGCCACCACCACCGCCCAGCTCGAGGTCTTTTTTGTAAGAACCTGGTTTCGGCCTTCAGAGCACATGGTCAGTGGGGAAAGAACCATCAGACCATTCTATTTGTGGCTTTAAGAAAATTATTTGGAGCCAGGCAGTGGTGACACACACCTTTAATCCCAGCACTCCAGAGGCAAAGCCAGATGGATCTCTGAGTTCGAGGCCAGCTTGGTCTACAGAGCAAGATCCAGGACAGGCACCAAAACTATACAGAGAAACCCTGTCTCGAAAAACAACAAAAAAAATTATTTGGTAATTTTATATATGAGTACAGTGCATTTAGGTCATGCCAACACCTCCAACCCCTCACCCTGATCCCTACTCTTTCTGGGACACCCTCCCCCTTCCTGCTTCCAACTTCATGTTATTTTCTTTTCCCAAAGAACTCACTGGCCATGCATGGTGGAGCATGCCTTTAATCCCTCCACTGGGAAGCAGAGACAGGAAACCTCAGAGAGTTCAAGGCCAGCCTGGTCTACACATTGAGATGCTGTCTCAATAAATATCATAAAACAAAAATAATTTGGCCAGGGCGGTGGAAGCGCACACCTTTAATCCCAGCACTCAGGAGGCGGAGGCAGGTGGATCTCTGTGAGTTTGAGGCCAGCCTGGTCTACAGAGTGAGATCCAGGAAAGGCGCAAAGCTACACAGAGAAACCCTGTCTCTTGAAAACGCAAAAACAAAAGAAACAAAAAAAATTCAATGAGACCCTATGTGCTACCCCTCTGCTCACAGATATAGGGCACCATCCACTGGCATTTGGACCACAACACTGGGGGGGGGATGCCCCCCCTTCCCTGGGAGGGCTATTAAACCCCCCCCCCATTCCTTCTTTTTTACAGTGCTGGACATGGAACTCACCTCAGGCAGGCATGCCAGCAAATAAATAGTCTACCACTGGTACAGCCCCACCCTAAGAATTTTTTTTCCCAATGAGAAATAGTGAGATTTGTTTCTTGAACTAATGCATCTCCTTTAAGTACAGGCCACCAAGTCACACATGCACAGACAGGAAAAGCCTGTCTATTCACAGAAATAAAATCTTTTCTTCAATAAAAGCCCTGCTGGACCCCAGACCACCATCAAAGGGACTCTGTCTGCTAAGTCAGAGGACTGGAGGTGTGGAGGTTTGAAAGAAAATGACCCCCAAAGGGAGTGGCACTTATTAGAAGGTGTGGCTTTGTTGGAGTAGGTGTGGCCTTGTTGGAGAAAGTGTGTCACTGTGGAGGCGGGCTTTGAGGTCTCATATATGTTCAAACCTTGCTCAGTGTCTCAATCCACTTCCTACTGTCTGCATATCAAGATATAGCCAGCAGCATGTCTGTCTGTGTGCTGCCAAGTTCCCACCATGATGATAATGGACTAAACATCTGAAAATGTAAGCCAGCCCAATTAAATGTTTTTCCTTTATAAGAGTTGCCGTGGTCATGGTGTCTCTTCACAGCAATAGAAACCTTAAGACAGAGGGGTCTGTGATTGCTTCAGGACAAGCTGGGACTCTCTCAACATCACTAAAAGGGACCCCCAACTACCTTGGTGCAACACTGTGGGACATGATGTCCTATGGTCCCCCAGGGCCTGAGCTCACACAGGAGCATCTTCCTGACACTCTGTGGTCCCTGGAGCCTGAACTGTCAGGTGGCTGGTGCTGACCTTTCCCAACCCTTTACTACAGAGTTGTTCTTCATATGAAAAGTTAATGGGGCTGGGCGTGGTGGCTCACTGCCACTTGGGAGGCAGAGGCAGGCAGAGCTCTGTGAGTTCAAGGCCAGCCTGGTCTACAAAGCTAGTTCCAGACCAGCCATGGCTACATAGTGAGACTTTGTCTAAAAACAAAAGAAAGTTAGTGGGATCACATGACAAACAGCTTGTTTTTCTTGAGACTGGTCATACTATGTAGCCCTAGCTGTCCTGGAACTCACTATGTAGATCAGGCTGGCTTCGCAGAGATCTGCCTGCCTCTACTTCCCAAGTGCTGTGATTAAAGAAAGGTGTGTGCCACCACACCCAGCTGATCTGAACTTTCTATGTAGGCTAGGCTGGCCTTGAATTTGTGGCAGTCCTCCAGCCTCTGCTTCCTTGTGGTGGAATTATAAGTGTGCACTACTCTGCCTGGCTTTTTTGAGAGTGGCTATGTAGCCCAGGTTAGCCTTGAAGTGGAGATCCTCTTGCTTCTGCTTCCTCACGTGCCACCATACCTGGTCTTTGAGGTCATCTGTCACATCTTTGAATGGGCACTATAAATCTGCCAAGGTCTGGCTACACTACATGGACAATTATGGAGGAGGAACTCTGGCCGAGGAGGAAGTGGGCCTTGAGACTAGCCCAGGAACCTACAAGACATAGGCGCTGGGCTTCTACACGACAGTCACAGCAGGGGTGAGAAAGGGTGTTCATACAGAGTCCCAGGCTTGGGTGGGTGGGGCTCAGTGGTAAAGTGCCTGCCTGGTGTGTGTGAGGAGGCCCTAGGCTCCATCTCCATCGCCACCAAACAAACAAAACCTACAGTTTTGGCTGCACACAGCACCCAGGTGAGTCTGACCTGCACCAGGGACTGCAGGTCCTATGGGACCTACTGCTTTGCCTCAGCACCTGCTGCTGCTTCCCAGTCCTGAGCAACACCGCTCCCTGTCACCACCCCAGTTGGGAATGTCCCACATGGTCATGGGAGGGCAGCCAGGGAGACAAACAGAGAAGGCTGTCACTGGGTCAGACTTCAGTGAAGAGGACTCACTCGGTCCTACCCCTTGGGAGGCAGATGGCCCGGGGCCCTGGGACCTCACTCAGTCCCTGCTGCTTGCTTGCCTGGCTTTCACGATTAACAAGGACAACTGCCTCACTGGCTGGGAAAGGGACCTCCACAAGTCACCCAATCCAGGCCAGCCCTGGCTCCAGAGTGCCCATGATCTGCTGCAAGGGGACAAGACAAAGCTCCAACGTGTTCGGGAACTTGCCCTCCCAGAAACCAGAGAGAGCCACTTGCTGCTCTGAGTCCTCTCTTCTCCCCATATCATAGTTGGTTATTATGGGGTCTGCTGTTTTTAAGGGTTCTTGCTATGTAGTTCAGATGGGCATCAAACTTGCAGTCTTCCTGCCTCAGCTTCCCGAGGACTGGGATTACAAGCACATGCTACCATGCCAGGCTTCTCCAGCTCCCAGTGAGAAGCAGCTCAACACAACAGGTGTGCTGTGAAGCAGGAGATGGGTGGCCGCACTCCTCTTCCTGCACTGTTGCCTCCACATACACAAGAGCTTACAGGTCCCCAGTGCCTTGGAAACCTGGGTTTCCTTGCTCATGATGCCAAGCCTCAACCATCATAGGCTGTATGTCCTAACCCAGTACAAGAGGGGCTGGTACTGCAGGGCCTGGTCCATCTACAGACTATGCCTGACTTATCAGAGGAGGCCTCTGGACAGTCATCCTAGCCTACCCGACTTCTGAAAAGCTGTCCCTGGGAATGGCTCTAATAACAAGGGCCTATAACTCCAAGTGCTCAGCCTATACCAGGCTCTTCTCAGCAGCCAGCTGGAGCTACCACCTCCTTATCAACAGGACAGCATGGCTAGGCAACTTGCCCAAGATGTGGCAGGCCTACCAAGGCTCTAGACTTGCCTGGATGATCCCACCAGAGGCAGCTTAGTTGCAGGACCCCAAGCAACCACATTTCTGGGCTCAGCAAGCCTCTCACTCAGCCCCCACTGGTAGAGTCTAGGTAGGCACTATACTGCCAGGAACATCCCCAGCTCCCAAAGAGGCTCTTGCCTTATTCTCTGTTCCTTCCTCTCACTCCGCATCCATCTCTCTTGTCAAAAATAAGATCCACACTGCACTCAGAACCTTCCCGCTACTCCTGCTTCCTAGGGAACATAGCACCTCAGGAGAGTCCACAAGTGCCCTGCACTGGGTAGGCAGGTGTCCACAGAGTGTGCCATGCCCTAGCCACGCCTGATCCCCAGCAACCTTCTAGCAACCATTCACTTCATGTACCTCCTCACTACCACTTTGGAGATGAGGACATGGTGATTCAGAGAAGACTAGTGAGTTACCCTTCTCTGCAAGAAATGCTCCCTACACTTCCTGCTCTGGGGAAACACTGCCTCTCCAAAGTCACACCTCACCCACCCTGCTCACAACACTGCTGCTGCCTGAACTCCGGAGGCCTTCACAGCACCATGCTGCTCCTGTAAGAGCACTCAGGGAAACTGAACTGTGGGGCTCAATGAAGACCCCAGGAGTAAACTAGTAAACTACCAGCAGACATACCTGCCTCCCGGTACTGGCCAAACACCAGGTCTGTACGGTCCAGGGCGGCGGCACTCCCCACATGTGTCCCTTCCTCACCATAGTTGGTCATGTAGAAGGAGATCCGGCCCTGGGGGGTGAAGGGGCCAGAGGCCCAGGCTTGGTTAAGGCAGTCCTTGACAGAGAACCCTGCCTGACTTTTTTGTTTTGTTTTGTTTTTGAGACAGGGCCTCTCTGTAGCCCTGGCTATCCTGAACTCACAATGTAGACCAAGCTGGTCTTGAACTCATAAAGATCTGCTTATCTCAGCTTCCTGGGTGCTGGAATTAAAGGGGTGTGCCACCACACCCAGCCCCTGCCTAACTTGTAATGATCAGCCATCACTGAGGCCATCACTGTGCTGGGCTACAGGAGTGCCTGCCTCCAGAAGGAACTGAATGGACAGTGGGAACTGCGTGACAAGAGCCCAAAGGAGGGTACAGGCATAGGCAGGTGTGGAGAGAAGCTGCTGCTCTGGGCAAAGGAGGCGAGTGGAAGACCCAGACAAAAGGGCAAAGAAAGATAGGAGGCCAGAGAGCCATGACATGAAGGTAAGAGGAGGCGAGGTGCGGAGGCAGCTCCCGGACGATGGGGACAAAGGCCTGGACTGCCCTCCAGGGCACTCTGCAGAAGTGCTACAGCCACATTTCAGTCACTTGGAATCTCTCAGGCAGCTCTGCAGGGAAGGGATGGTGAACAGGAAAGAGAGCAGCAAGCTAGGAGAGGGGGACCGGTGGCCTGTCTGGGAGCTGAGGAGACAGCAGGAGGGACAGATGGATGAGTGGATGAGTCCTCAAAAGCCAAGTTAGTGGTGCTGAGAGTGACCCCCAGGCCACCTACCTTGGCCTCTCTATGCTGGACCTGGAAATGACATTGGGGTTCCCAGCCTCCCTTGCTAGCCAGCGATGGTTAGTCAGGGGCAGTTTAAACGCGAAGCTTTAATGGAATCTGCTTTTCGGGAGAAGGGAGACTACTGCTGGCACTACCCCTACCCTCACCATCTTCCTGCCTTGCTCAGAGCCGTGATGTCTGGACCTGTGGCAGCCATCCTGTGAGCCCGAGGCAACAGGCACAGAACAAACAGAACAAACACCATTCTGTTAGAAAGGATGGAGCAGAGGGACAGGGCTGGGTTTCCAACAGTGCTGCGGAGCTGCTATGAGACCCAGGGTGCCAGGGTAGATGAGTGGCTGGCAGTGCCCAACACTGAGAAATGGGTTAGAGGAGGAAGGGACGCAGGTCAAGTTTGGTCAGGCTGTCGGCTGTGGGGTATAAGCAGAGATGATGCCAACTAGGTCTAGGGTGCCAAGATGGAAGTCTGGCTGGAGAGCTGGGGAACCCCTGGTATATGATGAAATCCAGATCACCCAAGATCACATGGAAGAGCTCTTCCTGGTTGCCCCTCAGGATTCTCCACGCCTGTGGAGCTCAGCAGTGCTCCTGGAACCTGGCTTTCCAGCTGCCAGGGAAAGTGATGAAGAAGGGCTTCTCTAAGTGGGGAGCCAATTAAAAGTTAATTGACTTTCTGGTGCCAAGTGGGTGGGCGGGTATGGGATATACAGGGCCTGCAAGGCTGTCAAGTTCAGCATGTGGAAAAGCCTGAGATGCACCCCCACCTTGGGCTAGTGGCAGAGCCTGTCTACCCAGAGTCCTCCCCGCCTCCATATTCCTCCCCACCTCCCATTCTATGATAGACAGGAGCTACCCAGATGAAAGGGCTATTGCCAGTCTCCCTGGCAACCAGGAAGGGCTGATGACTGTGTGCACATGTTATTCGGGGGAAATGCCCAAGAAAGCTCTATGAAGACATAAGTGAGGAGAGAGATGGGATGTGCAGTGTTCGGCCTCCCCGCTTCCTTCTACTTGCTGCCTGGAATGAGACTCCAGCAGCCATATGGATTGTGAGAAAGAGGACAACGATGCAGAGCAGAGCAGAGAAGAGCAACGGGAGGAGAAAGGACAAGCAACTGACACTCAGCTGCCACTAGATGAGTTCCAGGCCCCCATCCCCAGCTTCTTTTATCCAAGAGGACAAACCAGTCACCTGTTAAGTACTGCTTTTGATTTTGTTTCTTTTTCTTTCTTTCTTTTTTTTTTTTGGTTTTTTTCAAGACAGGGTTTCTCTGTGTAGCTTTGTGCCTTTCCTGGAACTCACTTGGTAGCCCAGGCTGGCCTCGAACTCACAGAGATCCGCCTGCCTCTGCCTCTCGAGTGCTGGGATTAAAGGTGTGCGCCACCACCGCCCGGCTTTTGATTTTGTTTCTTAAGCTTTCCTTTGGAGTGAGGAGTTCTGTCCCTTGTACCTAAGCACAGTCCTCAAACGTAGACTGTACTGTGTATGTTGGGTAAGCTCCTTCCATCCTGGATAGCTAATTCCTTCCCATACCAACCCTACAAGTTAGAACACCGGCTCTCACTCACTGATTTATTGAGTGGGGATGGAGGGGCAGCTTTGAGACAGTGTCTCACTTTGCAGTTTAGGCTGGCCTAGAACTCACAGCTACCTACCACCTTAGCCTCCCACATACTGGGATTACAAGCATGTATCACCATGCCTGGCTTTTTAAGTATGTTTTTTATTTATTTGTAGAGCTAGTGACGGAACCCAGAGCAAGTCAAGAATTCTACCACTGAGCTCTGTACTCAGCTAACATACAGTGTGGAGACCAACATAAAAACAAGAAAAATGTCTTGCCTGAAGTCATGACTGTGACTAGGCACTTCTGCAACTTTTCTCTGCTGTGCACATGGCAAGTATTTTTAGTGAACCTTCCCACATTCTTCCAGTGCCCCAGGAGAACCCCACAGAACTCTCATGACACCACTGAAAGGATCCCCATACCACCCCCTCCTTGGTGCATTCTTGTGTACAAGCACAGGTAGAGATTTGGGGTGACCCCACCCTGCCCCAACATACCTGCCGTTGGGACTCATAGAGAATTCGGTCCATGGTGTTGAGCAGCGTCATGCTCCTGTATAACTTCAGTACCTCCTCCTGGGGCAGCTGCAGGCAGAGGCAGACAGATGGGGAAAGTTGGGACCAGAAGAGTCAGGCAAGGGACCTGAGCATGGGGGACCGGGACGGGAGAGCAGCCTCACATGGGGGTCTTCACTGGGGTTGATGATCTGGCCCTGGCGGTCCATGACACGGTAGATGGGGATACCAGAGATGACATTGGGTTGGATGAACTCAAGCTTGTCTACAAACTCCGCCGAGGCCCCTGGGAACTGGGGCTTGTCGTCCAGGGATGGGAACTGCTGCTGCTGCCTGCTGGGTTGCTGGGGAAGAGAAGCAAAGAAGTGTCTCTGTCAGGAGCAGCAGAAGCTTCAGCTGCCTCAACCCTCCCTGGTGGCTGACACTGTGGTGGGTAAGGAGCCCAGGTTAGCTTCAAACTTGCTTCTTTCTGAGACTAGCTTTGAAGTCCTAATTCCCTCGCCTCCAGGGTGCTGATTACATATATGTGACTCCACACCCAGTTTTTGTTGTTATTTGTTTTGTTTTTCCAAGAGACAGGGTCTCTCTGTGTAACAGTCCTGACTGTCCTGGATCTCGCTCTGTAGACTAAACTGGCTTTGAACTCACAGAGATCCACCTGCCTCTGCCTCCTAAGTGCTGGGATTAAAGGCATACACCATCACTGCCTGGCTGGGATTGCCTCTTTTAAAGACAGATTGTTGTTATGTTGCCCAGGTCCAGTTTTGGTTTTTTGGGGTGTGTGTGTGTCCAGATTTTGTTTTTGTTTGTGTGTGTGTGTGTGTGTGTGTATGTGTGTGTGTGTGTGTGTGTGTGTGTGTGTGTGTGTGTTTGAGATAGGGTTTTTCTGTGTAGCTTTGCACCTT